AGGGTTGAAGTAGCACCTTGGCAAATCGAGCCAGGTTCACTGGGGTTTGTAACAGCAAGCAGGAGAGTGGAAGGGGCACAGCATGGCAGGGACGGGTCCTGGTGTGAGGAAAAGCAGGTCCCAGGAAAGCCTCGGCACCCAGAGGGGGTGTTGGAGCCCTGAGCAGGGTGAGAACAGAGCTGATGGCTCTGCCCCCAAGGCTCTCAGAGGCCTCTCAAGCACCTCTGCTGGGCAGGCAGCTCGTCCCCAAAGGGAGCAGCCAGAGGAAGGACAAACCATGACACTCCTGGCTAAAAACTTCCCAAAAACTCCAGGCTTTTAGGTGCAGAACCCCAATGGATTCACCATGGAAACCCAGCCCCGGGGCTGGTAGCGCTGCTGGAATGTGCAGTTGGCCCCAGCCATGGAGGAGGGAGCCTGGACAGTGAAACCTTTCAGCGTGAACGGTGCCGAGCAGGCAGTCTGGGGCTGCTCTGGAAGTGCTTTCCAAGGCAGCCAAACCCGCCGGGTTATCCAGCGATAATTCACCCGCTCCCAGACGGAGCCGCTGGAAGCGGAGCCAGAAAATGCTCCCAACCCTCCTGCTCCCGGGGGACTTGGAGAGGGGGAGACAGAGCAGGAGCTTTCCAAGCTTTTCTCTGGGAGAAGACAGCACACTGAGCCATCCCTGGATCAGCCTCCCAGCTCCAGGAATGCCATGGAGGTGACCGGAGTGGAGTGTGCCGGAGACAGCAGGGACAACAGAAGCCTCTGGGTCACACCCCAAGACACCCTCACCCAAACACCTCCCAGGGTCCTCCTGCCCCTGCACACACTCCCCGATTCCCAAGCACCCACATTTCCAGGTCATACTCGTGGATCAGGAGCTTCAAATACAGCCTAAGTTTTCCTAAGTGCCCGATGCTTTTGGCTAAAAGCAGATGCATAAATGTCACATTTAGCACCCCAGATCAGCTCCCTCCCCAGCCTCATCCCTCACTGCCTCCACACTCTGCCCTCAGGGCGTCAGGATTCACAGATTCTGGTTCTCTAGAATCACGGAATATCCGGCGTTGGAAGGGACCCACAAGGACCATCAAGTCCAACTCCTGAACAGCTCCCTGCTTTCGAGGCTGGACCTCCACGAGCAGCCCAGGAGGTCGGGAATTGCCCTTTACGCGACAGCAGCACCCATTCCCGGGGGGTTCGGATCCCCGTCCCCCAGCCCGGCCGCTCTGGGCGGGCGGTGAAAGCCACCGGCGAAGCGGAGCGGGGGATGGAGCGGAGCGGGAATGCCGAGGAGCGGGAATGCCGCGGAGCTCCGCTGCCATCCAGCGGCCGCGGGACCCGCGCTCGGGGCAGCGCCCGCCCGTCGGTTCGCCGAGAAGCCACCGACAACCTCCCCCCCCCGCGATTTTTTACACGGCGAACACCGATTTCATTGTTTTCCCCCTGTATTCCACCTCCTCCGCCTGGTGCTGGAGCAGCCCTGCCCTGTTTCACCGCTGCTTCCAGGGATACAGGTTGCTCCGTGGGTTTCTCCACACCTTTCTCCCCAACCTTTTCAGCTCAGGGAGCAGAGGGCTGGAGCAGCTCTGCTCTGGAGACGGGCAGGGAGAGCTGGGGGGGTTCAGCCTGGAGAAGAAAAGGCTCCGGGGAGACCGGAGAGTCCCTTCCAGGGCCTAAAGGAGCTCCAGGAGAGCTGGAGAGGGACTTGGGACAAGGGATTGAGTGACAGGACAAGGGGGAACGGCTTCCCACCGCCAGAGGGCAGGGTTAGATGGGATATTGGGAAGGAATTCCTCCCTGGGAGGGTGGGGAGGGGTTGGAATGGAATTCCCAGAGAAGCTGTGGCTGCCCCTGGATCCCTGGAAGTGTCCAAGGCCAGGTTGGACGGGGCTTGGAGCAACCTGGTCTTAGTGGAAGGTGAGCTTTAAGTCCCTCCCCACCCAAACCATCCCATCCAATTCCATAGGATCCCGCGGGATCCCGATCCCGGCCGCTGCCCCCGCGCGCCCCCTGCGGGCCCCGCCCGGCACTGCCGGCCCTGCCCGGGGCCGCCGCTGGGGGTCAGCGCGATCCCGGGGGGGATCCGACCCCATCCCGGGGGGGATCCGACCCCATCCCCGGGGGGGATCCGACCCCATCCCGGGGGGGATCCGACCCCATCCCCATCCGACCCCATCCCGGGGGGGATCCCCGGGGGGGATCCGACCCCGGGGGGGATCCGATCCCGGGGGGGATCCCCGGGGGATCCGACCCCATCCCCGGGGGGGATCCGACCCCATCCCCGGGGGGGATCCGACCCCATCCCCGGGGGGGATCCGACCCCATCCCCGGGGGGGATCCGACCCCATCCCCGGGGGGGATCCGACCCCATCCCCCGCCCAGAGTGTGCTCCCGAGCCCCGGCCGGGATCCGGCATCCCCCAGCCGGGAGGTGCTCCCGAGTCCCAGCCAGGATCCAGCACCCCCTTGCCCAGGGGGTCCCCTCCCTCCCGGGTGCCCTCGGAAAGGTTGTGCCCCCCCACCCTCCAAACTGAGCTGGGCGAGGGGGGCGGCCGTGGGAAACCGCCCTTCCAAGGGGGGGACGTGTGGCACTTGGGGACATGGTTTAGCCGGTGCTGGAGGAACGGCTGGATGAGGAATGACCTCGGAGAGCTTTTCCACCCAACCCATTCTGTGGTTCCCTGAGATGCCGCGGGGCAAAGGGCTGAGCAGGGCCAGTCAGTCCCCAAAGCATTTTGGCCGTTTGCCGGTGGGTTTCCCTGGGTCCCAGGCTCAGCTGTCCCCAGCAGCACTGGGCTGCCCTGGAGTGTCCCCCGGGCCAGTTGTACCGGGACACATCCTGCTCTGGGGTGTGCAGGGGCACTGATCTGCACGGAGCAGAGGTGAGAAAGAGCCTGAGATAAGGAACGTTTCTCAGTCCAGAGGCTTTGCAAGGGATTGCTAAAGACCATGATAAAGAGCTTTTGGTGCCTGCAGCTACAGGTGAGGATCTCTGCAGCTGGACTGCAGTTCATCCTTCCTGCAGGATTTCACAGCCAGGTTGGACGGGGCTTGGAGCAACCTGATCTGCTGGAAGGTGTCCCTGCCCATGGCAGGGGGTGGCACTGGATGGGCTTTGAGGTCCCTTCCAACCCAAACCATTCCATGGTTCTATGATGCAGCTCCCAACAACCACAGGGAATCTCTCAGCAAAAGGGAAAGATGCAAAAACCAAACCCCAAGTCCAAGTACCAGCCTGGCCCCAGATCACAGCAGCTGCTGCAGAGGAGTCCAACAGCTCTGGGTTGCTTTACATCAGCTTAGGGTAGGAAGTCTCACACAAGTTGCTCAGCACTCGAAAATGTGGAACTACCAGCAGGGTCATGTGCACAAACTCATCCCTCCTGCCTGCACTTCACAGGCAGGGACAGGAGAGGAAGCCAGAGCCTCATGTTGGAAAGGAATGAAGTCAAGTACTTGGTACATTCACATAATCATCGAGGGAAAACCACAATGCCAAGGGTTTGGGAAGGGACTCAGCTGTAACAGCACCAGTCAGACACAGACAAGGGGAGGAAATCAGAACATCCAGGCTCTGCTCCAACAGCTGGGAGTCTGCAGTGCAGAAGCACAGTCAGCCCCTCAGGTTTGGATTTTCCATCCCCATCCATCCCAAGAGCACCCAGCTGGCAGAGCCACCTCTGACAAGAGCAAACACCAGATCCTCCTGGATTTGTGTTTAATAAAATGGGACAGCAGCCTCAAAGGTCTCTCCTGTGCCCCTGTGCCCACCCTGGCACAGTCCCTGCAGGACATTCCACAGCCCCACTGCTCCCAGATGGACACAAGGACAGAGCTCATGTCCCTGCCAGGCTGCATCAGCCTTCTTGGGCTGACTGCCCAGCAAACAAGAGCAGAGGAGCCCTAACCAAAAGCAGATATATATTTTTAAAAGCAAAGTCTTTGCCAGCAGCAATTTTCCCTTTATTCACATTTCTGAGTCTCATTCTCACAAAGGAAAGAACACTACAAAAAAAAACCCCACACTTGAGAAAGCAGCTTGGGCAGGGCAAACCACAGCACCTCCTCAGTTTAAAGGGTCAGTTCTGCTCCATGTGCCAAAACCCAGCTGGACCCTCCCCAGTTCAGAGCAAAGGGTCATAAGAGCCTTCATAGGGAACAGGGACTGGAGGGGAATGTCCTCCCCAAAACACACAGGGACAAGAGAAGCCAAGTGTCACTGCAGGCCAGACCCAGGGGAAAGGCAGGACAGCACCACTGGGCAAGGGGCAGCACAGAGGGCTGGTGAGGGCAAATCCACCTGCCCTGGCCCAGGGATCATCACCTCCTTCCCCAGCCAAGCAGAACCCCCCACGTTTCACCCTCACACATCCCAGCTGCTCCCAACAGCCCCTCAGGCACTTCTCCCAACATCACACCAGGATGTCGACACCACCACAAGTCCCCTCAAAATCCGAAGCCCTGGCATCCCTTTCTAGCAGGAAAGGGGATTTTCCAGCACAAGGAGGTTTACACCACCCTCCTCTCCAAAGGGAACCTCTCAGCTCATCTCTGCATCCACCAGGAGCCCCACGGGACCCTCAGGACAAGCCACACATTGTTCCCAGTGAGCCTGACAAGGCTCCCATGAGCCACCACCACTGACTTCCACAGGCTTAAAAGTCTGGAAAAGCAGCAGAGCTCCCCTTGCCAGGCAAAGAAGGGAAAACCTGCTGAGGGGCTGCAGCCTTTAACCCCTTTGTTCATTACTCAGCAATAAAACTCCAGGAAGAAAACTCTTATTAGGGATTTCAGGCTCAGATGGTACTAAAATGTTCTTGCTCTGATGGGAACAGGCAGGGGAAGGCAGCTCAGCTGTCAGAAACAAGCCTGTCTGCTCCCACATTCCCTTACAGCAGGTCACTCCATTTGGCATCGTTTTCTCAAGTGAGGGAAAATATAATTTTTACAGAAGTCCCACAGGAAAGTGCTTAAAAAAAAAAAAAAAAAAGAAAATATATATTCCTGACTCACCTAAAAGCAGGATTTGTCCTACACGTGTGCGTGGACTCCTTCCTCCTCCAGAGCCACAATGCCCAGAGCAGCCCAGAAAAAGAGGGGCTGTGACTGCTGCTTTTCCACATCTGTCCATTGGGAGACGTCACACCTCAAAGCCAGTTCCACCACAGTGATGCCAAAAGCAGTAATCCACGGGAGCTGGAGAGGAGCAGGGGCTGCAGCCTCCCAGCTGTGCCATTCCCAGCTCCAAACAGAAGGGAGCATCCAAAACCCACAGCAGTCCAGGAGGGTTTATGATGTCAGAGATCCCAGGGGAGAGGAACCATCCAGAGGCAAATCCTCCCGGCTCGGGACCGTTGGTGGAGGGGGAGAAGTCCCAATCCTGCACATGGTCAGGCTCTGGTCTCCTCACTTCTGGCACAAGGACAGTCCCAGGGCGGTTGTGGCCGATGGAATTTGTCGTTCCTGAAGCGGCAGATGCCAAAACCTGTGGAGAAACAAACGTCAGGATGAGGGACCAGGAGTGACCTCGGTCACTCCAGCACAGCCAGAGCTGCCCCTTGTCTCCAGCCCCTGTTCTCCTGCCAGCCACAGGGCACCTGAGCACATCCAACAGAGCAACACTGCAAGATATTCCCAAATCCAGCATTAAAATGTCAGGATTGTGCCAAAAGGAAGGAGCAAGTGAGATTTTTCTTGCTGCAGCTGAGCAGAGAGCACTGGCCATGCTGTTGGTCACATCCCCAGGGAGCAGAGAGCACTGGCCAGTCCCTTGCCCAGGTGTTACTGTCCCAGTTGGTCAGTACTGGTCACACTGGTTCCTGACATGTAGGATTCCGATTTAAATCCATCCACAAAAAGAGAGACAGGGATTTCTTTGCAGGGCACCAGCCTCCTCCACACGGCAGCAGTGACAAACACAGCAAACAGCTACAGGGCTCAGAAAGGTGACAATTCCCAAGCTGAATTCCCTCCTGCAGCAGCCTCCGATGGAACCAGCCCCTGCAGCAGTGCTGAGGCCCCCGGGGCTTGGAGGATCTGCTGAAGATGTGTCCAAGCACAGACCCCCGACCGCCCCTTCCCTTTGGTGACAACCCCAGCAGAGAGCCCAGGACAGAAGCAGCATCTTCCTCCCTGCATCCCAAACCCAGGGAAGTCACAGACACGCTGGCAGAGGGAGCAGGGACCCCTCTGCCCCAAGAGTGGCGGGCACACGGATGGCCAGCACTTTTTGGGGAGGGTTTGGACGTCCTGCCCCGTGCCAGGGCCCTGCAGAGCCCCTCCCGTGTGCTCGGGCACACAGTGCCCCGGGATGCACACGAGCACAGCCCCTGCCCTGCCTCGTTAGGGCGCCGCTGCTCCCCGGCACAAAGTCCGTATTTGTTTCCCTGCAGGGGTGGAAATAAAGGGGGTTTTGTGTTTTCTTCCTCTTCTCTTCGCGGGCTGGAGTGAGTTTATTTGACACTCCAGCACTCTTTGTGAGCTGAGTGCCCGAGGATAAATGCTACCCTTAAGAGTTACTTGGCGTTAGACAGAGGGACCCTCTTCAGAGGAGAATGGGGGCTTGTTGGGCTGGGGTGGGAGGGGGCACAGGGAGGGGGGCTCCGAGGAGCGCCCGGGCAGCCCTCATAGAAGGGTCTCTGTCCTGGGCTCACAATAGAGCGAATTCTTAAAGATACCGGGAGCTGAAAGGAAGGAAGGAACTTTCCTCCTTTTAAAAAGGATTTTCGGGAACAATTGAAGAAGCTTTAAAAAGGGGATCATTATTTCCCATCCAGTCCCCTGGGCTGGGAAGCTCTGCCTCCCTCCCCCCTCGAGCCCCGGGCTGGGGAGGTCTGACATGTTCACTGGGACACACCGAGAGGTTGGATGATGGTCACTGGCCAGTTTACTGAGGAACTGCCCAGGCCCTCGAGCAGGGGGTGCCTCATCCTTCTCCTCCCTCCCACAGGTGCCACTTCCACGAACCACCTTCTTCTGCTTCCAGGTCCTCCTGCCCTGGAAGGAATAAGGTGCAGAGAATGGATTATCCCGGGAACACTGGCTCAGATACCCACTGATGGACCAGGTGGAGCAGGATGCCACCACCCACCCTGCCAGGGACACAGGAATAACTGTCCCCTGGAGACACCAACCAAATCCATGCAGAGAGAGGATGGCACATCCATGGAGAACAGGGGTGCAGAGAGCCCTGCCAGCCTGCTCCAGGTGAGCAGCTCTCCCTCCCCAGCTGATGGAGGGTTTTCTGCACACACTCAGCGTTACACAGAGCAGAAAGAGGAGTTAAACCAAAGCAGTTTGGCTGCTGAGCTTCACCTCCAGCTCAGCACCACCCCAGACCCCACCCACTGCCAGGGAGACTGGTGCCAGCTCCCACCACCCTCATGTCCAGCCAGGCAGGACCCCCCTGGGCTGCACTGCAGCATTTCTGGCACCTCAGAGCAACCCCAGCCCAGGTGCCAACACTGACCCACCCCACAATGAGCCCTGCTCCTCACACTGTCACTCCAGAGGTGTGTGAGGACTTCATCCACAGGCTCCCTCATTCCCTCTTCACTTCCACTTGCTGAGGAAACGCTGGAAACAAATGCAGAACCAAGTCCAGAGCGGTGCTGGCCATGGGGAAACCTGCTAAAGCTCATCCACACCCCCAGCAGGGAGGGGACCTGCTCTCCACAGTCTGGAAGTGCAGAGAAGCTCCTGTGAGCTTTAATTCCCAGAGTTCAGTCCCAAATTCACTACATCCCTGGCCATCCAGGTCCAGAGTGAACCAAGCTGCCTCTTGGTGTCACTGGCAGCCCAGGTCCCAGACACCAGGAGCAGGTTCCTGTCCCTCCAGAGACACCCTAACTGGAGCTGTGCCAGTGCCAGCACTGAGCTCATCTGCAGGGAACGAGGATGGGCAGGGGAGAACCTCACCCAGCACAAACACCCTCATCACCCAGCCTACAGATCCTGAAGGGACCTTCACTGCACCTCCTGCCTGCCAGGGTGAGCCCACGCACCACAAACAAACATTCTGACACCTCCTGGCCTGAAATCCCCATTTAAAGGGCCAGCAGAGGAGCTGAGGCAAAGCCCAGTGACAGCAGTGAGGGCACAGCCACCCAGAGTGATGTGACACTGGTCCCAGAGCACCTTCCTCCATCTGACCCCGTACAGGACACGCTCGGGGAGTCCAGAGCAGCCTCCAAAGCCAGTCTGAGCTCTGTGTGGTACCAGGCAAAAACCTTTTGGCCCTGGTGATCAAGTCACGTTGCCAGAGAGGTTCAAGGTTGCCTTAGGCTGAGCTTTACTCAGCACAGTCATCTCTGCTCCTTGACAAGACCAGGGCAGGTTTTCCTGCAGCCATACAAGACAGATGACAGCTCGGATCCCTCCCAGGGAGAAAAAGGAATAAAATCTCAGAGGGATAAGCTTTATAAAAGTCCTGACTAGACAACATTTGCTCCTGATACAAAACCCATTCTGAGGGAGGTGGTTTTTTGGTTTTGGTTTGGTTTTTTTTTTCAGGAAAGCTGCACAACCACCCAGGGATCAAACACATTTATTTAAAGGCTTAGGTTTTAGCCCTCAAAAAACATCTGTGGCTTGGCAGAAAGAGGAGCCCATTGAATTTTAAAAATGTTACCCTCTTAGGGCACGGGTGCAGCACAACCCTGGGGCCGAGGCCCTCACACCTCATCAGCTCTGTGTGGGAGAATCACACCTAGAGATGAACCCGAGGTGAGAACAACTGCCCCGACCACACTCCCTGCACTCCTCCTCTCGGGTGCTGCTCCAGGGGAGCACTGCCTGCAGTTCAGATGCTGCCACAGAGGGGGAAAAACCCAAAAGCAAGAAAGGGGGAAGCCCTGGAGCTCTGAGAAGGCTGAGAGCAGGACACAGCCACACTGAGCATGGGCTCTGTCTCCAGGGACTAATAAGGCAGCGCACTGTAAACCCTAATCCTGTGTTAAGAGCTTTCATCAAAAAGGAACAGTATTTATTAGGGAGTTATAGGAGGCAATAAAAGTGTTTTCATGCAGTGTTTATACTAACACGGGGGGCTCTCTGCTCGCATTTGCCCCTTGGTTTTTGTTTTAAATCCATCTTTCTGATGAAATGAGCCCTTCTGAACAAGGCCACCCTTTGTAATGCAGTTCTAACTTTCTGGCCGGGCCGCGGTAACTGGCAGAGCCCTGGGCTTTTCTTGCCCTCTCTTTTGTTGCTTTGCTTTTCTGTTCAAAGTTCAAACAAGCCAAAAAGCCCCCCAGCAGGCTGCATTGTGCTCCTGGCATTAGCCCCCCCGTTGTCCAGGGCTCAGGGAGCCGGAGGGAGGGCGGCGGGTGTGGCCCAAAACGTTTGATCTCCAAAAGTTTAAGGCACTCCGAGATCACTTCTTGCACAGAAGAACCCACAGAAAGAGGAACTTGAGTCCACAACTGTCTAGATCTGAGCCAGCTGTTACTAAAAGTCACCAAGGAGTGATGCTACTGGATCAAATATATTTGTAACCAGGCACAAGAGGAATGCACACCAAAATCCAGCCCTCGGAAGAGCCAGGTCGGAGGCCAGGGCTTCCAGATGTCACAGCTGTGCTTCACTGCAGGCAGAAGCATCCCAAAAACAGTCAGGACCCAGCCCCAGGTCACAACATGCCCCAAGTCCTCTGTAACACTGAGCCTGAGCCAGGCAGGTGTAGCTGAGATGAGTCTGGTTCAGACACCACTGAACCCCCATTACATGGACTTTAATTTACAGCTGGTCCTCAAACAGTGACAGTGTGACCATCCCTTATCCCAGCCTGCCTTAGGGCATCCCTGCTTTTCCAGCCCAGGAGGGGTGAATCCACCTTCCCCAGGCCACAGCTCCAGCACAGCCATTCCAGAGGGCTCTGGGGGGGGGGGTCCTTTCCCAAGGGGACCAGCCCAGGAGCAGCCCCAGGTCAGTGCCTCCAGACTGGGTCCTGACAACCTCCCAGAGCTGTGGGTTGAACCCATTTGGGTTGTTTCCCCCCTGGCTCCTGTCTCTGCAGGCTCTGAACTCAGACAGCATGGATTTCCTGGCTCAGCAGGGGCAGAGCAGGGACACTCCTCTCCCAGTTCCTGGGGCAGGAGAAGCACCTGCAGCACCAGCACCTCCAGCTCCTGTAGCTGAATCTGCCAGAGCACCTGAGTCCCACAGAGAGAGCCACCAGTGCCTGCTGCCCCCACCCCACCCTGCCCTCTGCCCACCCCAGCCTTCCCCAGAGCAACATCCCTCCCACCCTGGGACACTCCACGACAGGAACACCCCCGGCCATGGAGCAACTTCCCCTCCTCCTGCCAGCACAAGAAATGGGGTTGCCTTTCTCTTCATACACGTTGTGCTTGCAAAGCACCTTCACACTTCAGCTGGGAGCCTTTTCCCATCACAAAACTGATACCCCCACAGTCAGAGGGGCTGCAGAGTGACCCCGCTGCCTTTCAACAACACCCTGAAAGGGTTTAGCACTGGCTCATCAAGTGAAGCTTGAAGGGTGCCACATCTCAGACCACCTTTTGTTTGAGACACCTGAACAGGGAAAGCATCTGGGAAACTCTCACAAAAAGCAAGTCCCAGCAGATCTGCTTCTTTTCGCAGCAAAGCCTTTGAAAAGGAGAGCACAAAAACATTGCAGCCCCCTCTGCCCCACAATGTCTCCCCACATCAGGGGCTTTAACTCACCACACATGTTGAACTCCACACCTGTGGGAGGGATTGAGGTGACCCAGGAAGATTTTTTTTTTCCCCCTCCAAGCAAATTCTACAGGGAAATTAAAAAGCTGATGTCCAGGAAACATCACCTGCCTGACAGCAGAGGAGGACAGTGTCCTTGTGAACCCTGCTCCAGCCTCCAAGCTGGAATCTCCCCTTCACAACACCAGGCAGCTTCTTCCCAAGGCCTGAGTCACCAGCCCTCTTCCCCCCACTTCCCTCCCACCAGCTGTGACCGTGATTATAAAAAGATGTCTCAATTAGCAAGAGCTGAGCAATTCCTGCAGCCTCCAAACCCTTCAGAGGAAACACATTCCAAGCCAGCAAAGAGCAACACTAACAATGTCTGGGCAATAAAAGCTTCTCTTGTTTATATCAAAGCAACCTCAAACATCCTTTCCCCAAACAGGCATCGCTGGCCCTGCGCAGGGCTCAGTGGGCTCAAAATCTGCAAGGGCTGGTGTTCTCCTGCTGCCGGGTCCCTGCGAGCAGACAGCACTAATTCCTGTGTGTGTTGTTGGTTGCAGGTCTAGACTGGTGTGGTCTTTTTGTTGTAGCGAGCAAAATAAGGGAGTCATTCATATTTTTCCAGAATTCACACAGAAGTGCTCTTGTGCATCACAGATACCCTGAATCACCAGCCCCGATCGAGTGTCCCTCACTCCCGGGCTCACACGGGCCAGCGCCGAGGCTGGGGAGACCCCTCGGACCCCAGCAGAGGAGGGGAGGGGGTTTTGAGGGGTTTTATACATTGCCCATCATCCCGGCCGGGCACCTGCCCCGGGGCAAGGTATTCCCACGGCAGGGGAAGGGAAAAGCCACGTGTGTTTTTCCCTAAAGAAACCCCGAAACCCCATTAAAAATAAACAAACCAAAAACAAAACACCAAAACCGACGAATCAAAAGAGCAGCCGCACGGTTTTCCCCGGAGGGAACAGGAGCCCTCCCCGCTCCCCAGGACCGGCTCCCGCCTCCCCTCCGCGCTCGGGCCCCGAGCGAGGAGCATCCCCCGGCCGGAGCCCCTCGCCCCCGGGAAGGGGGAGCCGGTGGGACACAAAGGCGATGGTACGGGAGGGGATACACCGGGGGCTGGCACTGGGAGCCCCCGCAGCGCCCCAGCTGAGCCCCCCCGCGCCGGGACCCCCGGGACGCACCCGCAGCCCCCGGGGCTCCGCAAGTGCGGGGCGGAGGAGCCCCGGCCCGACCCCCCGAGCCCAGCGGGGCACCCACCTCCACCTCCGCCTCCAGATCCACCTCCGAGCCGCGTCCCGCCGGAACAGCCCCGGGGCTGCGGGTCCCCCGGCGCGGGAGCGGCACCATCCTCCTCTTCCTCCTCCTGCTCCATATCCTCCTTCTCCAAATCCACATCCCGCTCCAGGGGGCCGGGCACGGCCCCACTCCCGTCGGGAATCCCCCCGGGGGTGCCGGTGCAGGAGCCCCGGCTGCGGGTCCGGACCGGCTCCACCGCGGCCGGGGATGCTCCGACTGCGGCTGCCGGGCCATTCCCCCTTATATAGCCCCGGGGCGGCGGGCGGGCGGCGCGGCTTCACGGGACTTGTAGTTCCTCCCCCCGGCCCGGAGCCGCCTCCCTCCGTCGGTCTGTCCCTCCCTCCCTCCGTCCGGCCCGCGCGGGGAGGGGAGGGCGCGGGCGGGAGAGGACCCGGGGGAGTGGTGGGGGGCAGGATTGGGGGTGGTTTCGCTCTTCAGCGGGCCCCCGTTGCTCTGTGCCATCCCGGGGGAGAACAGCCGGTGGTTTTGCCTGGAAAAGCCCGGCTTTTCCCGGGACTCCGGGAGCCGCATCCCTGGCACAGCCAGTCCGACGCCAAACCGGCCCCTAAACTGCCGGTAAATGAGTAACCGCACCAAAACCTCAGCGCGGAGACCGAGGGCTTCAATTGTCCCGTGTATTGGTTATTGTTTAGTTTAATTATTGTCCCAATTATTAATTTAACTTAATTATTAACCCATCCGTGGAATGAATGAGCAATTAACCGTGCTGTTAACTCAGGGGCTCATTTAAGGCCCGTTCTCCCAAGCACACTCGGTCCAGGCAGAGTCTCGTCCCACAGCTTTCCCTGCTGCTCCATGAACCCCACGTGCTTTGGGAAACGTCCTAAAGGGGACATGAGGCACAAGGACAGTGGCAGCCACCCGTGACCCTCCCTGCAGTCACAGCCCCTCTGCCACAGGGACAACTGGACTGTGGCAGGGCAGAGGGTGCAGAAGGTGCTGGTCGGGGGGGGAAGATCCTGCACACCCCTCATCCAGTTGGATGCTGGGCTTGGCTCCAGGTGGGCAATGTCCCACCCCACCAGCTGCACAGGGACAGGGACACGGATCCAGCATCTTCCCACCTGCACCGGGTCAGGATTGGCCCTCCCTCGCTCAGAAGAGCTGATGAAGTGAAACCACAGAGGTTTTGTAGGACAAGTGAGTGAGGGGGGCTGAGGCAGCAAGAGGGAAAGTGGAGGGGAAGGAAAAAAAACCCTCCTGGCAGGTTTTCAGGGCCCGAAGCCGGAGTGGAAATGCTTCCCTTCCCTTAATTGCTTCGAGACCAGATGAATTTCTTGAAGAAACCGCAACTGAAAAGCTGCACAAATCACATTGTTGTGCTTGTGTTGGCTGCCTGCTTAAGGAGGGAAAAGGTCATCGTTTATGGTATATTAAAAAGAAAAAAAAAGCCATATTTCAGTGCTGTGCAGGAGGGGGTTGTGCTGCTTTTTCATACCCACGTTCTGGAAATTAAAACCTGTTTGGCAAGAGCCAGAACACAACTCGCAGTGAAGAGCTGAGCTGGGGGAATGCACTGGGGGGGCTCTGCTGCACTCCCTGTGTGTCCCCCCAAGCCACCCTGCCCCATCCCTGTCCCTTGGCTGGTGGGGTGATGCCCATGTGGAGGAGCAGGGCTCCAAGTGCTGCTCCCATGGGATTCACCATCCCACAGGCACCCACTGGTGCCAGCCCAGCACAAGTCTCTGCAGCTTCAGGGCCCAAGAGGGTGAAGCACTGTCTGTCTGACAATCCTTCCCTGTTGGGAAGGGGCAGGGAAAGTCCTGATTCCAGCCTCTGGGAGCTCCACTGGTTTTATTCAAGCACAGAAATTTGGCTGCTCTCTTTCCCTCCCTTTTCTCACCTGTCAGTAAAATGATGGAGCTTATTTTGCCCCATCCCTGGAAATGTCCAAGGCCAGGTTGGACAGGGCTTGGAGCAACCTGGGAGAGTGAAAGGTGTCCCTGCCCATGGCAAGGATGTGGAAAGAGATGAGCTTAAAGGTCCCTTCCAACCCAAACCATAATAATGCTCTGCACCAGCACCAAAAGTGGCAGCTCCGAGACTGGTCTGAGGCAGGAATTGCAATGGAAAGCTGAGGAAGGAATTGCAATGGAAAGCTGCACTTATCCTTCCCAGAAGAGCCTGACATTGATTTATAGGATGCTCCCAGCCCTAGTTTTGCAAGCCCATGACGTGGTGGTGGAAGGTGTTGGAGATGCTGTGCTGGTGCCAGGTGAGGCAGCAGTGGCTGCTCTGCACACCCAGACAGTGAAAATGCAAACAGACATTGTTTTTAGGTGATAGCCGTGCCCCCCCTTCCCAGCTCCTTGTGAGAGGACAGCATTCCTGTCTCACATTCCTCAGCCACCGCTGAGCCGGGGAGGGGAGACCCGAGCCAGAGGAAAAAGCACCAAGTTTTAATGAGGAGCCTGGGCTGGGGGGTGTGGGCAGGGAGGGGGCAGGATTGCCCATAAAGCAAGATAAAATGTGTGTGGATCAGGGAACAGGGGCAATTACACAAGAGCCTGTGGATGTCAGAATGTCAACCAGATGTTTCCAAGGCGTGGAAAATCAGTGGTTTCCCAACAGATCCAGTTGGAGCAGCTGAAAGCATCCTTTATCCCACGGGGGCAGGGACCGGCAGCGCTCCACGGAGAGGAGGACAGGGGGGTTTGGTCCAAGGGCTGCTGAACGCAGAATCACGGGATCATTGAGGTTGGAAAACACCTCCAGGATCATCAAACCCAAGCTTTAAATATCAAGTCCAACATGGGGCAGGACTGTGGCCGCTGGGTCTGCTGGCTCCGAGCTCTGTGAAAGCTTTTCAGGAGAGGAAATCCTCAGTGCAAGGGCAAATGGAGAGGGAAGAGGGTTTTGCTGGAGAGGGAAGTTCTGCTCCTTGCTCCAGGGCTGGCTCTGGGACTCCGTGTCACAGCTGGTTGAGAGGCCACCAGGAGGATGGGCAGGCACTGGTTCTCCTCCAGGAGAATATCCTTGAGACACGGAATTCCCGGTGGCCAGAATTGGTCAGGGAGGAAGAACTGACTCCTCCAGGCAAACAGGGAAAGCACTGGGAAGCCATGGGAGCCCTGCTCTGACCCACAGCAGCACAGGGAGGGGGGAGCAGGAAAACTGCTCATTCCTGTGAAAGCTGTGCTGGTACAGACACCTCTGTGGGAGCACAGTTGGGTTCACGGCCCCAGGTCGTGTTGCTTTTACCACACCAGCTCAGGAGTGGCACATCTATAAACTTCACCCTGCAACTTGCTGTTGATTTTTACCAAAAGCAACAATAACAAAAAAGAAGCATTTAGTGATTGATGGGCACCAGCACTGGCAAAATAAAGAGATCAGGGAAGGGTGAGCTGGGAATGAGTTCCCACAGGACAGCTGTTCCCAGGGCCTGGCCAGCACAGTAACCTCTGAAAGTCCTCTGACCTGCAAATACCCTCCCCAAACCAGTTAAATATATATAAATATATTGAAATATGGAAACAAAAAGCTTTTCATTTCGTGTGCTGGGAGTGCCAAGTGCCTGCAGGAGCCAATAAAGAACTGTTGCTCCAGGGAACGGGGAGCTGCGTGTCAGGTAAAACACAAACAGCCTGAAGCCTTTCCCAAAACTTGAGCCAATCCCAAAATTTAAAAAAGAAAACAACCACCAAACCCAAAAGCTGAGGTTTTGTAAAAGAGGAGGAAAAGTGTGGTTATGTGTTTTTAGTTTTTGCCCCGTCCTGGATCCCAGCCTGGACCACAGGCGTGTGCTGGCCGGGCCATGGGAAGGACGGGCTGCTCCAGCTGCAAGAGCAGTGGGAAACATCTTCAGAGGGACCTGGAGCAAAGCTGAGAGGCTGCAGGGATGGCAAAGCCTTGGGAAACACTCCTGCCCCTCCACAGGCTGCTTTGCCCAGGGGCTGAGGGCTCTGGGGTGCAAAGGCAGCCGGGCAGTGCAGGGGCACAGCACACAGAGGGGTTTGTCCCAGGCAGGTCCAGAGCAGGAATTTCACTGCCATCACTGCTCCTGATGTCTGAGCTCTACAACCCCCTGAAGGGAGCTTGTGGTGAGGTGGGAGTCGGGCTCTGCTCTCAGGTAACGAGGGACAGGATAAGAGGAAACAGCCACAAGTTGTGCCAGAGGTGGTTCAGGTTGGATACTGGGGAAAATTTGTTCACTGAAAGAGTGGTCAAGCATTGGAACAGGCTGTCCAGGGAAGTGCTGGAGTCACCATCCCTGGAGGTGTTCAGAACACAAGTACATGTGGCAGTTTGAGATGTGGTTTAGTTGGCACGGGGGTGTTCAGTCAAAGGTTGGACTCCAGGACCTTGGAGGTCTTTTCCAACCTCAGTGATTCTGTGATTCAATGAGAGATGTCATGAGACGGACAGGAGATGCCCAACCTGCTCTCCAAGCCATGCCAGGGGGCAGAGGGGTTGCCCAGGACCCTGGAGCCAGGCTGAGGGCACAGCACTGAGGGCACAGCACTGAGGGCACAGCACCAATGCCCGAGTGTGTCTGCAGGGACAGGAGCAGGGACAGTGACCTGAGCCCTGTGGGGACATTTCCTGCTCGGTGGGAGGCTCCCCAGCCCACAAGCACATCCTGCACTCCCACCACAGCCCCTGTGAGGGGCTCACCTGCCACGAGACACCCAAAGACTGACAAAGAATTAAGGGAACAACAAAGGACCTAAAGAATTACAGAGCCACAGAGAGAGGGAGAGACATCCCAAGACAACTAGGAGCAGTTTGGTACCTGTTCCCTCAGCTCCCTGCCTGCTCCCAACATCCCTTCCACCCTCCATGGACTTCCCAGCACATGGGGAGGAAAAAGCCAGGGCAGGTATGAGAAAAGGCACATCCGTCACCTGTTTGCTCAGTGACACGAGCAGAGCAGGGAAGAGGTTTAAATGCCATGGCCAAGGTCACCCAGGACTCTGGGACACAGGACTCGCCCAGCCCATCAGCCAGGCACCCCAGGGAAGGCAAAACAGCCTTAGCCCCAAGGGCAACTGTCAGATAAAACCCCCAAAATCTCCATAAAACAGAAGCGAAGGAAGGGACCAGGTAAAATTATGACCCACAAGAGCCAAATCTGCTCTACACTGGGAGAAGGACAAAGGAAATCCCCACTCCTGCGACACCAACCCCACGGCAGGGTCCATATAGGCTGTGTGTTTTAGCCTTAAGTTACTTAAAAAGAGCTTTAAAGCCAAAACACTGTTAGAAAGTACATTGTGTGCTCCGCTGGGAAGATAAATTCATTATTTCAGCTTGAAAAGGTGACTCATCCAACATCTATTCTAAAAAGGCATAAAAACACACACACACACGCAGCGAGATTTTCGAGGAGGGCAGTGATTTAGTGTCTCTTTCTTTCTCTCCCCACACTTCTTGCCTCCTGCACAAGGATCTATTGAGAAGCTGCAGAACAAACGTTCCCTTATGCAGCTCCAAAAAAGTCTCCGTCAGTTTGTCTGAGACAGCTGCCTCCGAGCACACTATGGTTACTCATTAACCGGGGCTCCCAGGGCACGGGAAGGAGGAATAAACTTAATAGACCCTAAACCAGAGGCAAGGGAAAAAAAAAAAAAAAAAAACCAACAACCAAAAAAACCCCAGCAAAGCAAATAAATACATCAGGTGTCCTGGAAAATAAAGTGGGAAAAACAGGTGGCACCGGGAGCACCTCCAAGGCAGAGGGTCCGGCTGTGATGGGCGACGGGAGCAGGAGGGGACAATGACACGGAGGGGAAACGTATGGGGACAAAAGGGAAAGATTATTAAAGGGAAAGAGAAGAAAGAGAGGGGACAGAGAGGCACTTGTGTTCCGCGGTGCTTTATGTGCCCGGGGTGCCGGGGAGGGATTACTTCACTTCGTTCCCGCGAAGTTGCCCGGCTCTGCTCCCCTCTGGAGGGATTCATTCCCTCCCCCCCCCCCCAGCACGTTTTGCATGAGAATGAGGGGCTGCTTTGGCTGGGGAGCGTTTTCCAGGGGGTCAGTCCACTCCCGAGGCCTCCCTGCTGCCAGGAGAGCCGGTGGGTGAAGTGTCCTGGCAGGAGAGGTGGGAGCTCTCCTGCCTCCTCCTTGGGTTCCCCCTCCCAGCCCCGAGGAGCAGTGCTGGTTCTCCCGCTGGATCTCCAGGCCAGGCCAGGCGGTGCCAGTGCTGCCCTGCCACCATCACCCCTTCAGTGCCCCCTCCACAGAAAACACGTCCCCAGGGGCGGCTGCACCCTGTGCCCTCATCCCTCACCTTCCCCACACACAGATTCTGGGGAGAAAGACACCCCAGGAATCAGAGAATAGTTGAGGTCAGAGAAGCCCCCTAAGACCCTCAAGTCCAACTGTTCCCCATCTGCCAACCGCTCCCCACGGGCCGCTCACCCGTGTCCCCAGGTGCCACAGCCACACGCCTTCTAAATCCCTCCAGGAATGGGGACTCCACCCTGCCCTGGGCAGCCTGTGCCAGGGCTGCACAGCCCTTCCCATGAAGAAATTTTTCCTAATATCCAATCTAAACCTCCCCTGGCACAACTCGAGGCCGGTTCCCCGGAGCCTGTTGCTTGTTACCTGGGAGAGGACTCCGATGCCCACCCGGCTCCGGCCTCCTGCCAGGGATCTGTAGAGCTCATGGGCTCATCTGCAGGGCAGGTCCATGGCAAGGCAGGGGGGCACTGCCTGCTGACAGCCAGTGTGTCCCCAGACTGTGTCCCCAAATGCCAGGGGACACCAGGCAGCATCGCTGTCCCTTCTCTGCCGAGGAGCCCTCCCTGCCCAGCCCTCAGCCCACAGGAGAGGAAATGTCTGGTGCCACCTGACATCTCCCTGAGATCCTGATGGAGAGGGATAATTAGAGCTGTAATAAAAAGCTGAATACAGCTGTGAACAAGGGCAGTAAATCAGCCCTGCCTGCCCTCCAGAGCTGCTCTGAGGAGCCACGGCCAGGACTGATCCTCTGTTTTCTGTTTGCCCAACATGCTCTCCTGGAGATAAGGGGGGGGTGTCAAGGGACTGTAATTATCTCCCTGCCTTTTGTCATGTGCTTTTTGGAAACAATTAAGGGATTGCAGTCAAAGGAATGGGGTGGGGATGGAGCAGAGCCAGGACATCGCTCTCCTGCAGGACCACAACCCTCGGGATCCATCCCAAGCTGACAGCAGAGTCCTGGGATCACCTTCTCCTGGAGGAGCCCAGCCCTGTGGCAGCACAGAGAGGGCAGGGACACGGGGATCCCTGTGTAGCCTCAGCACAGGCAGGAGCAGAGCCTGGGGGCAGCTGCACAGCCAGGGCTGTACCAGAGCCCTGGGGACCACCTGGACCTGCAGATCCCTGACCCCCAGGCCAACAAGGCTGACAGGACACAGGGAATGGCCTCCCACTGCCAGAGGGCAGGGTTAGATGGGGTATTGGGAAGGAATTCTTCCCTGGGAGGGTGGGGAGGCCCTGGCACAGGTTGCCCAGAGAAGCTGTGGCTGCCCCATCCCTGGAAGTGTCCAGGGCCAGTGGAAGGTGTCCCTGCCCATGGCAGGGAGCGGGACTGGATGAGCTTCAAGGTCTCTCCCAATCCAAACCATCCTGTGATTTCCATGATTCTGTGAAAAAAATCCCTGGTGTGACCCCTTCCAACCCTCCTCCCAGGAGCTGCTCCTGCTGAGGCAGCACCTCCCACCCTGCCCCACGTGTGACACCCCCTCCCTCCCCTGCCCCCCAAACAGGGACTGCCAGTGCACCAGGTACCTCCTGCCCTCCTCAGGGCTGGGATCTGCCAGCCAGGGCTGGGAGGCAGCTCTCTCCCCATCCAGGTCAGCTGGTGCTCCAGTGGAACAGGTACCTTGTGACCGAGTTTCTGTAAGATGTGAAACATCTGGAGCTCGGCGGCACAAGGCGGCCTTTGTGCAGCTGGGAAACGGTGGGCAATAAACCAGCACTTGTTTGGGAGAGCTTCAAGGAGAGGGGGAGGGAAGGGAAAGGACCAGAGAGAAGCCACCCCCACTGCAGAAGGAATCTCAGCCCCTTGCTGGGTCTCGGCAGCATTTTCCACGCTCGCTGGGCCAACGGCAGCCCCAGACCCTGCACAGACCCCTCGGGTCCACTGCACCCCATCCCAAATGGGAACACCTCAGCCCAGCCTGCCTGTGTCCAAGCTGAGGCACACGGTGCTGAGCAGCCCCACGTTGCTGGTCCTGGCTGTATTAAATAATAAAATGAAATAATTGTTATGAAATCCTCAGCATTTGGCTCTGGAAGGGGCATTGTCCCCTCCCAGCTCGCAGTGTTGGAACAGAAGTCGGTGTGTCCTGTTGGTATCATGAGATATCTTGATTTGAGAAGTGCTGATCAATTAATAATTAAAAGGACCTGGAGGGTTGATATCCCTAAGAAAGGAATTTCCAGCAGGAACTACCCAGCCAGTGCCAAGCACACGGGACTTGGGAACACCAGAGCTGGGGGTCCCCGTGCCCGTGGAGGCTCCTGGTCCCTCCTGCAGCTCCAGAGCATCCAAGGACACACTAATGCTTCACCTGCTCAGGTATCTGACCTGTCTGAGCACAGCTAACCCTGGGAATGGAGAGGCAGCAGAGTTCAGGAGTTCTGCCCCTTTCCTTGGCTAAAGGAAAGGCCCAGCAACACCTCCCCTGTTTCCCTCTGGAGCCCTGGGAGGTGTTGCTGGTGTTTCCCTCTGGAGCCATGCAGGTGTTCAGTGTGGAGGTGGGCCCTGCTCACCTTTTCAGACGGGAAAAACATTTACACAAGGAAAAAATTAAATATTCCTATTAGCTCTCTGGAGCAGTGAGAGCCAGGACCGGCCTCAGAGGCCACGGACTGTGAGCCAAGGTCCATTTAAAGAACTGGAGCCCACTGGAGAGGACTGGGGAGCTCTCTCCCACCCCACCCCAGGGGACAAGGACAGCACAGCCCCTTGCTGGACCAGAGCATCCCATCAGGCATCCCAGCCCAGGCTCCTGCTCCCAGCACAGCAGTCCCCGAGTGCCCCACGAAGCCAAACGGGGCTGGAGCTGCACCAGGGGAGGAAAAATCCCCCAAAATCTCTTTGTCTCCTTTCCACTCACCAGTGCTGCCTTTGCACAGCAATTACCGAGGCCTGGGGGGTGTTCACACCCAGTCACCTGGGCCTCCTTCTTCTAAACAATTTAATTTGTTTAATGACTTGGGAGGCCCCAGGGGGTCCTTGCAGCCGGGATTCATTTCCCTGGTCTCCAAAGGGTTTTCCTTCCCACCCAGAACCGAGGGCACTGGAGGGATTTTGTGCAATCTTCACCAAGACCTGATTTAAGACATCCCCCCTAAATTCCCAGGGCTTTCTGACCTCCAGGGACACACCAGCAGTGCTGGATTCAGGGGGAAGGAGCTGCAGATCCCCCAGCAGATTTGTCCATCCACTGGCAGAGCTGAGCCAGGATAAATGATGTCCTGAAAGGAAGGAGAAAAACAAAACATGTTGTGAGATGCTGATTTGTGTTTGAAATCCAGCCCCACACCTGCCTCTGCTTCCAGCCCAGACCAAAACACCAGGCTGGGAGAAACGGGGATGCTCCAGCCCTCACTGGAGTTCACACCTTGGGAAAGAGGGAAATAAAAAGGGCTGGGAATGCTCATGCTGTTGGTCTGTCCTGCACAGAGCTGGGGGAGCAGTGCTGGGGGTCCCAAGGGAGTTGGAGTCCTGGAGGAGGTGGGGGTCCCAGTGGGTGTGGGGGGTCCCAGTGGATGTGGGGTCCTGGAGGAGATGGGGCTCCTGATGGAATTGGGGTCTTGGCACAGGTGGAGGTCCCAGCGGAGGGAGGTCCCAGTGGAGGTGGGATCCTGGCAGAGGTGGGATCCTGGCAGAGGGGGTTTCCCAGCAGAGGGGGGTCCCTGGGGAAGCCCCAGGCTGTGGGGTGTCCCCCACCCCGGCCGTTACCAGCGCCTCCCTCCATTGTTCCCCAGCCCGCGTTTTTCCCTATGACCTAATCTTCCCTTGGCTCTCACTGGTGATTTTATGGCAGGGAAATTATTTTGCAGCAAAAGGAAAGCAGATCCAGGCTGTTCTCTTCCCTCCTGATTCCACACGGGCTCTGGAGCTGCAGGGCTGTTTCTGCTCCAGGCTCAGCAGAGGGATCGTGCGGGACGAGCGGGGAGCGACCGTGTGTCGGGCTGGGAACACTTTCCTTGTTCCTGTAAGAACACGGGAAGGCAACAGCCAGAGAAAGATTTAAACAATTCCCCACACAAACCAGCTCTGGACACAAAAGCTTTTTAGTTATCATCAGCATTTTGTAAGATTATATTAAAATAAACCTTCAGGCTCAGTTTCCTGCTCCCGAGATCCCCCTCGTAGGATTATAAGGCACAAAAACATTTCCCAGAAATCCCAACCAAGGACATACTGAAAATATTTTCTCCCTGTTCTTGCACAAACCCTCACACTGTAAAAGCCTTAGAACAGCAAAAGAGGCACTAAGATGGGAGCTGTGCAAACTGCAGATCCCTCAGTGTGTAATTTGCCTTCTTTTCCCATTAGGAACAACCCTCTGGATTGACTTTTGACTTTTTGACTTTCTTTGACT